TGGTTTTTCACTTGCAGTAACAGCCGTTGTCGTGAGTCTGAAAGGTAGGTATATTTCTTACCCTTCAAAACATTGTGACTACTTGTTTTTCCTCTTATTTCTGGTGCTGATTATTAACATATCTTATTACAGTAACTTTTTCTATTGTCATAAAAATTTATGTATTAAAGTGTCACATATTGATTGTTATAAAACCTCTACAAAATCTCTAATATTAAAACAGAAAACAATATATATACAGCCATAAAAATATAACAGTATGACACTTTATACATTGATCATCAAAGTTTAAACAACTTCACAAAACTCATTAAAAGTTTAAAATCCATACATCTGTAAACTTGTATAAATATCTAAGGATAAACCAATATCATGACTATGGTATGTGAGTAAATATCTCTACTGATCAAGATATTTGTATTTATAAATCCCCATTCTGTCAAAACATTTATCTTCATGTTACGCTATTTACATAGAGGGATGACACACGCTTTCACTAGTCAACTAAGTTTGATCCGAAACGATCATTTTGATCTAAACAGCTCATAAAAATATTCCCCTTTTTTTTTATATGAACAATAAATCAACAAGTAATTTTTAGTCTCTCAGTCAATTTTAAAGTTTAGCCACTGCAGTAAATCCAGTACTGTTCAGATTATTCGCTTGTAGCCAACTAAGTCTGAAACATTAGTGAACGACAAAAAATTACTGAGTAATTTATTGTTAAGATTTTTCAAATGATGTTCTGACCTAAATGACCGCTTAAAGCTTAAATACTTTTACTACTGTTTGGAATATAAGGGGTAAAACAAGTGGGGATGTGGAATACAGGGGTACAACAAGTGAGGCTGTGGGATATAGGGGTTGAAAGAAGTGGGGATGTGGGATATAGGGGTTCAAAGAAGTGGGGATGTGGGATATAGGGGTAAAACAAGTGGGGATGTGGGATAGAGGGAGTTAATGATATTGCTGAAAATTGTATATCTTTAGGTTGATTATTTGCCGATGACACATCTCTCAGCTACTCTAGTCGTGACACGTCACAAATAAAATCAGTGATCAGTCACGACCTGAGTGAGCTGAGCGATTGGTATAAGAAATGGCTGATGTCCTTTAACCCAGAAAAAAAATAGAAATTATGTTGTTTTCGTACATTGAAACTCCGGAAATGAATTTCAATGGTAAGAATATTAAAGTTACAGATTTTCATAAAAACTTGGGTGTTACATTTAGTAGAGATGCTAAATGGAACACTCATGTGGAAAGTATCATAAAAAAAGTATCGAAACATTTGAAAGTACTTAGAAAACCAATGTACAGATTAAGTAGGAATAACGTAGAAAAGCTATACTTGACTTTTATAAGACCGTTACTCGAATACGCCTGTGAAGTTTGGGATAGTATGGGTGTGGGTTATTGTAACAAATTAGAGCAGCTGCAGCTTGAGGCAGCCAGAATTGTAACAGGTCTTCCTATTTATACTAGTAGTAGAATTATTTATGATGAGATTGGTTGGGAAACTTTAGCTGAACGAAGAGAAAGGAGGAAGTTACAATTATTTTATAATATCCAACATAATAATGCACCAGCCTATCTTTACAATTTAGTTCCACCAACAATCCAAAGTACAGCTGTTTACCCCTTACGTAATGGGAATGATATAATATACCCTTTTTGTAGACTTTCATTGACCCAAGAATCCTTCATACCTTCAACTATACGACTGTGGAATAACCTTAATGTGGTGACCCGCAACATTGACTCTTTAGGTAAATTTAAAACTGAATTCAAAAATCTTAAACTGAATTCAAAAGCCCAAGTACCTAAATATTATAAATTTGGCAATCGTAAACTCAACATCATTTTGACTCAACTAAGATTCTCAGCCTCTTTTTTGAATTATGATCTTAACAGAGTCAATATAGTTTCAGATCCGTCTTGTAGCTGTGGTGCTAAGCGTGAAGATTCATTTCACTTCTTTTTTGAATGTCCTAATTATACGAATATAAGAATCAAACTATCTAATAATCTGAACTGGTTACCAGAGAACTCTCTACTAAATTTGAACATCTAAACCTCCGGTGATTCGTCATTAACTAATGATGAAAATGAAAGAATTGTAAAGAATGTATATGAATTTATTAAATAGTCAAAGAGGTTTCTAATTGTGTAATACAGCACACTAAAGTGCATATTCATGTATAATGTGTACAACCACTCACATCATCACACATCATCTTTTTACATATCCAATATATATAATGTATTGTTTGCATGCATGCTTTGTAAAAAATTCTATTGTTATAAATTGTTCATGGGATAAGACTTTATAAGTTTGATTAACTTGTGTCTCATCCCTTTTGCATATTTAAGCAAATAAAATATGTTTCAACTCAAAAAAGGAGTAAAACAAGTGGGGATGTGAGAAATAAGGGGTAAAACAAGTGGGGATGTGGGATATAAGGGGTAAAACAAGTAAGGATGTGGGATATAAGGGTAAAACAAGTGAGGATTTGGGACACAGAGGGTAAAACAAGAGAGGATGTGGGATATAGAGGATAAAACAAGTGATGATGTGAGATATAAGGGTAAAACAAGTGGGGATGTGGAATACAGAGGGTAAAACAAGTAGGGATGTGGGATATAAGGGTAAACAAGTGAAGATGTGGGATATAAGGGGTAAACAAGTGTTTCAACTCAAAAAGGGAGTAAAACAAGTGAGGATGTGGGATATAAGGGTAAAACAAGTGGGGATGTGGGATATAAGGGTAAAAAAAGTGAGGATGTGGGATATAAGGGTAAAACAAGTGAGGATGTGGGATACAGAGGGTAAAACAAGTGGGGATGTGGGATATAGGGGTAAAACAAGGAGGATGTGGGATACAAGGGTAAAACAAGTGGAGATGTGGGATACAGAGGGTAAAACAACTGGAGATGTGGGGTATGGGGAGTAAAACAAGTGAGGATGTGGGATGTAGGGGATAAAACAAGTGGAGATGTGGGATATAGGGGGTAAAACAAGGGGAATGTGGGATATAGGGGTAAAACAAGTGGGGATGTGGGATATAGGGGGTAAAACAAGTGGGGATGTGGGGTATAGGGATGAAACAAGTATGGATGTGGGATATAGGGAGTAAAACAAGTGGGGATGTGGGATATAGGGGGTAAAACAAGGCGGATGTGGGATATAGGGGATAAAACAAAGGGGGATGTAGGATATAAGGGGTAAAATAAGCGGGGATGTGGGATATAAGGGGTAAACAAGTGAGGATGTAGGATATAAATGTAAAACAAGTGGAGATGTGGGATACAGAGGGTAAAACAAGTTGGGATGTGGGATATAAGGGGTAAAACAAATAGGGATGTGGGATATAGGTGTAAAACAAGTTAAGATGTGGGATATAGGGAGTAAAACAAGTGGGGATGTGGGATATAAGGGGTAAAACAAGTGGGGATGTGGGATATAGGGAGTAAAACAAGTAGGGATGTGGGATATAGGGGGTAAAACAAGTGGGCATGTGGGATATAGGGGTGAAACAAGGGGGGATGTGGGATATAGGGGTAAAACAAGTGGGGATGTGGGATATCGGGGTAAAACAAGTATGGCTGTGGGATATAGAGGGTAAAACAAGTGGGGATGTGGGATATAAGGGGAAAAAGTTAAATCTATTAAAAGGAAGAGGAAAAAAGTGGGAAGTGGGAAACAATTTAGATAGATCTGGGAAAAGCACGAAAAGAGCACACCCTTGATATTTGCCTTTGTAGATATGTGTTTACATTTGGTTGTCATATTTTCTATCGGCTTAAAACTTTGTATAATCAATGTATTGTCTAGATTCCTTAAGTTCTTTTGTTGTTTTGCTCTTTTTTAGCTAATTATGCTACACTAACTTTAAAAAGCGAAAAAACAGACGACAGATTATTGTTCTAGGAAACCTGCAGTTGCCTAAAACGTTTTGTCATTGTATTTTATTGTATTGTTGATACTGTTATATTCATATAAATTGTTGATAATTTGAGTTTTAATCTTATATAAGTTTTTGAATGTAATTGAAGTTTTATTTTAGGGTAAAATATTCTTAACAACCGATGTTATAACAATGCCCCCGTTATAAAATCTTATAAAAATATGGACAACAGAAGATATATATACTTATTCGCAATTAATTTACCATTCAGGCACTTGATTCGATTATAATTAATGCATATTTCTTTCCTTAAATAGATAAATTGCATTGATCATGTTGATGTTAGATAGATACTTTTACATTGTATTTCAGCGTACTATATGGAAAAGAGTTCAGGACTAGATAAGCAGATACAACAATTGGCATTAAATACTTCCGGTTTAGAAAGACAAGTTCAGAGGTTTTTCAAATCAATTGGGTAAAATACACTACCATTTAAATGATATTTCGAGTCATGTTGGCTTTATAGACCTTTTATTTTTTAATCAAATTTATTCTATTAATATACAATAGATTCTACTAAATTTGCAGACACCATTATAATGCCTTATTCTAAAGGGAAGCAGCTTTCACTCTGAATTCAAGTCGCTTAACATATATTTTAAAGTTATTTCTACATTCTGGCTTTGCACTAGCTTTCAGTAACTGCGAGTACTTTATATTGTTGCTTTGTGTCAATTGTTTTTTAGTTCTTTTTGTGTCACGAACCGATCTTTTGACTTAAGCCAATTGCAACTGATTTTTACATGTTTAACACTGTCACATTCTATATGTGCCTACCTCAAGTCAGAATCCTGTAATTCAGAGGTTATCGTAAGTAATTTTGTTATAAGTTAGGTTGCTAGTTTTCTCGTTTGAATTGTTTCACATTTTTTTTATAGCCGACTATACAGTATTGGTTTTTCTCACTGTTGAAATCCGTACGATGCCCTATAATTGCTTATATCTATTTCATTTGAACTCTAATGTATATTTGTCTCATACAATGGCAATCATACCACATCTCTTTATTTGATATTAAAGGTGAAAAAGGACCAATGGGAGAAAAAGATGGAAATGGTACAAAAGGCTCAGCTGGTGAGATAGGTAAAAACAGAGATGTAGGAAAAAGTGGTCGGAAAGGCATAATTGGAGACAAAGGTGCAGTTGGCACAAAAGGTCCAAATGGAGACAAAGGTGCGGTTGGTGAAAAGGGTCACAAGGGCGAAAGAGGCCTAACTGGTCTACTTGGTCCTACCGGAAGCAGAGGATTAGCTGGAGAAAAAGGACAAACAGGTGATAAAGGTCAAAATGGGGAAAATGGACTTCCTGGCTCAAATGGTGAACATGGTGAAAGGGGTATCAGAGGTGACAAAGGCTCAATAGGAATTATCGGTCCTATTGGCAACAAAGGCCAAAGAGGTAAGACTATAAAAATAAGTTCAAGTTGAATGTTTAAAGTACATGATCTGTTTGATTAACTATGTAGATATAAGAAGATGTGGTATGAGTGCCAATGAGACAACTCTCCATTCAAGTCAAAATTTATAAAAGTAAACCATTATAGGTCAAAGTACGGTCTTCAACACGGAGCCTTGGCTCACACCGAACAGCAAGCTATAAAGGGCCCCAAAATTTACTAGTGTAAAACCATTCAAACGGGAAAATCAACGGTCTAACCTATATAAAAAACGAGAAACGAGAAACACTTATGAACCACATCAACAGACGACAACTTCTAAACATCAGATTTCTGACTTAGGACAGGTGCAAACAATTGCAGTGGGTTTAAACGTTTTAATAGTACCAATCCTTAAATATCATAATAGACGAGTTTCAAACGCGTGCATTTTCCCTTACGTTTCCCATGTAACAGTAATTATATTATGAAGTATGAAACGATTTTTTATTGACGTTATTTACGCCGATTGACCTTGAGTCAACCGATGTTACTCATTAATCATATAACACAACTCGAGATTGGTCTATTAAAAATATAGTTTGATAGGTTATATACCAGAAGACAGTTGTTGATCAATTTAAATAAAAAAATCATGAAATATGTTCTATGAGTTGAATGTCACATATCTGAAAAATAATTCATTTGCCTTTATATATATACACATATTTTAATAACCCGTTTTTCATTATGATGAATATTGTAATTCATTTTTATTTAATTCTGAAAAGGGAAGTCCGGACTAGCGACAAAATCATACGTTACTAAAGTATCTATTTGTCTAATTGCCCTTCTCAAATTCATTGTCGGTCTGATAATTACTTTAAGTATACAAATTTTACATGTTTAAAACATACTTTATATAAAAATAAGAAAATGTGGTATGATTGCCAATGAGACAACTCTCCAAAAGAGACCAAATGACACAGAAAATAACGACTATGGCCTTTATATCCATTTTAGAAATACTTCTAGGAACAAGTAAAACAGAAACTTGATGATATAGAATGATCTGAATAAATGTAGCAATATTATAATCTTTATTAATACACACGTTATTTTATGAACAATTACATTGAAAGTTTTAAGTACAGTTTAAATCCATATTACGATGTGAATTCATAAATGTTTACAAAAGTTATATGTGAACATATATTGGGGAATGTCTTTTTTTCATTACATAGTTTGTATACATAAAATGTGAAAGTGAACATACAATGATGTTGACTAATTATTGTAGACCAAACAAAATATTGATTACAAATTATATACTTTTTATTAAACATTATGAACATATGTTATGTTGCACGTGAGTACGACTCTTTTGGGATGCTAATTATGTTTCACAGAAATCTACGAGAGGAAACCCAGATATAGAAAAAGCCATCTAAATTAAACTTTGCCTGGTTGAGTTGAAACCTTAATTTCTAAATAATGTATAAATGGGTTACTCTTACTATCAATTGCAGGAGAACGAGGACAAAAGGGTGAAAAAGGAAGTCCTGGAGAATCAGGTATCTAAATACACTATCATGTCAATAAATATAGAAATGTTAAATTCTTGATTGTAATCAATTAGAAACGGTAACATCCAAAGCTTTTCATGATGAAACTAGAATGTTCCTATATATTAATGAGTGTTGAATAAAAGTCAGTGTGACAGTAACCGACCAACTCGGATTTCTATCAATAATTGTATGCAAAAGGCAATATGACAGTTATCAAACAACTCAAAATTCTATCAAGGAGTGCTGAACACGTCAGTATGAAAGTAACTGTACAATTCAGATTGAAAACAATAAGTTTGAGAAAAACATCCGTGTGACAGTAATCCAACAACTCAGAATTATATCAATGAGTGTTGGATAAACGTCTGTGTGACAGTAACCAACAAATCAGAATTATATCAATGATTGTTGGACAAACGTCATAACTTGATTAAATGTGTATTCCAATTGCATAGAGTTCAATAGAAAAATGAACTCGTAATAACAACACTGCGCTTCATGTGTATTCTAGACTAGACGTCATCTAACTAACCATCAACATAACCTCCGATTGTAATATGACCTGATTAATACATGCATATAACTAATAAATAAACCAACTGATAAAAAAAAAAAAAAACACGTTCAAAGGTATATTGATGTTTTTTAGATCTGTCTGAATACATGTAATAAGTTTTAAAAAATATGTATATCATCATTCTTTCTTTATAAGAACTATTTTTTTGTAGGCTAGTTCAGTCAACGAAATAAAGTTTTCTAGTGGCTCTCTTGTTTCCTTTTCAATGTTGACATCCTTTTGATGCTACTAACTAAACAAACTAAACACATGCGCAAGCCACCTCGAGTTAAGGTTCAAACAAATTGCAGAATACATAGTATTTAAATGAATTTGAATAATTGACTTCCAAGCCAATAATACATCCATAACGTTTCACACTGGTTCTCCGTTAAAGCGCCCATTTTATGACGTTAATTTGTCCCACCGTAAGAAAGCAAAACTAACGACTTCGAGTTATATATATCCGTAGCTTGTTATACTTATATCTGAGATTTTTATATTTCTTTATTATCTATATTTTTAATTTTCATAAAGTTTAGTACATGTTGCACAACGATAGTGATCGGTACACCGGCCGTCAAAATATTTTTTTCGTAAACCTGTAATTTCCGTTAACGGAAAAAAGACCAAGCAGGACAAAATATTAAGCACAACATTGAGTGTGATTTGAGTTAAATTTGACTATAAGATTACCATAAATAATTTTGCCTATAACAATGGTCATTTATTCCAAATCATATCAGTCTGAAAAACTAAACAAAGTTGAAAACTGCAGAGATTTGTTAAGCATGTGATCTCCGTGGAATGGTCTATTCTAAACAAACACCTATTTTAAAAATAAATTTTACATCCAACAGATCGATATCGTTGTCAACATTTAATTTTAGGGACTCATCATTTTTTATCTGGGAGGGGGGGGGGGGGGTCAAAATGCAGGGGGGATCAAGTTTTTTTTCTGTATGTGGACAAGGGGGTTCAATTTTTTTTATAAATTCAAAGTCGGGGGATCAATATTTTTTGCATTTGGAAATAAGTAGTTCACATACTTCAAGAGACAAAATGTCAAGAAGAACATTACAGCAGTCTAATTGAAAGATATTTTTAACACCATTCATATACAATTAAGTAAGACACCACAAGACTTTGGTGATGTAGGAAGCTGCCATTTTGTGTCATTTTGTCCTATATAAAATGCATAGGTGCTTCATAATCCGAATAATTTAGTTGTTATATTTTACTCACGTCGATCACTAAATTAACAAGCATTATTGCCAATGTATCTTTTTGTTTTCATTACAAGAGCCCTTTGGGTCCATTTATACCTCTCACTCCCTCAAAATTTGTACTTTTTAGGCTAATAAATCAAAAATTTGAGGTTACTATCACACATTTATGAATGAACTGTGACAATAAATGAGTAATTGAATTGTTCAAGCTGAAAGCAGGAACTATCCATATAAAAGTTTAGCGACTCAATGGAGGTTTCAATAAGGCCATACGTAAAACTTAAGTTTAAGCAGCGTTCAAGAGAGGGACATATAAATAATGTGTTGTTACTGTTTCAAAAAGTTTACTTTTTAATGTATATTTTTACAGAGTTACTCAGAATCAAGTTTTCTTTAATAGCCCAATATAGGAAATTAGAAAAAAAAATCAGAAAAAGCTACTCAAAGCACTGGCTTGCTCTACCTACTAATATTCATGGAAGAGGCCTCATGATGGGAGAGCCCTATTTCAAGGCAATTTTCCCTCAAATAAGTTTTGGGATTCAATCCACTGAGAATATTTCATTTTCAATATTTCCTTGAAATAACATGATAAGTGATTTGCATGTTAAAATTTTGGCATGTTTAATAGAGGCGGGGTCACATTTTTTAAATGTTTTTACAGGGGGGATCAAATAAAAATAGTGAAATATTATGGGGGGGATCAAGAAATTTTGTATTTATGATTTCAAAATGACCAGCCCCCCCTCCCAGGTAAAAAATGATAAGTCCCTTAGTACAAATTCTATCTTCAGATGTACACGTATTAATCTTCGAAATGTAACATCCGTGGAATGTAATCTCCGTTGACGTTTTGGTAAAGAGTGCTTTCTATCACGTCCGCACTTCTATCGAGTATGGCATGCCAAATAAACATATTAGATAATTATTACGGATGGCGAATATATAGCTTACAGATCAATAACATACATTGTAATTATAGATATAAGAAGACACCATGTGACAATTTTTATTAATCAATTGTTTAAGTGTAACACAGTCGCTTTTTTCTCAGACCTAGGAAAAAAAACGAACCGGATGATTTTATAGAGAATAATACATGGCAAAATCCGTATCACATGCCGTATCATCCCGAGATACCAATATCAGCCAGAGGGATGATACGGCATGTGATACGGATTTTGCCATGTATACGCTTTATCACAGATTTAAACAGGAGAGTATGTAGGAACTGCTTACTGATCTAAAGCACCTGGGTTACCTTCAGATTTATTCATTTTTGCCATGTTTTAAAAGTTTTATCATATATAGGAACTGCTTATTGGGTTACCTTTCAATTTAGGTCCTGTTGTCCATAGAAATATTTTGCTTATTGTATTTTTTGTTTGTTTGTGTTTTGTATGGTAGTTCATTCAGTTCTTTTTATCCTCCTTTAGTAATGTTGTACTATATAAAACACATTCTGAATAAAACATGTTAATAAAAAAATAGCAACAATAAACCAACAATTTATTAACAAGTTTACTGTAATAAACAAGAGACTACTTTGAGACTGGTGAGTAAAATGTGCGGATTTGAAATATAAAAATCTAGTTTAACAAACATCGGACTTCGTGTAAATTTAGTCAGAATCACTACTGTCATAAATGAGAAATCCAAATAGGGGTGCGATAAAGGGTAGTCATGTGATAAAGGGGTGTGATAATGGGTGCGCATCAAAGTTGAGCGATACGGATTAAACAGCAGGCTATTTATCAAATATTCAAAACTTCTGTATTTACTACTAAATATAAATTATGATAAATATCAATATTAATGCAAGTACATAATTTTAACCTGTTTTCAATATTCAAGATATGTAACGTTTATTATTAATATAAATTTGATACCGAATTTAATACGATTTAACAATTATGCAAGTAGCCATTAAAATTGCTCTGCTTAATGAGTTTTATATCATGTTGCACAGGGAAACAAGCTTTTAAATACTTTCTTTCATTTAAATGAAATTACGACGTCGGCTGAGAGGGTATGGTATATATTGTCCGTTACAGTTATTAACAACACCTTGTACAAATATTCTTTTCGAAAATTAAAACAGTTAAATAATAAATAAACGATATAATGGAATTTGATGCGACTGTCATACAAGTGAGAGGTTTAGTGCTTTAAAACCAGGTTCAATCCACCATTTTCTACATTTGAAAATGCCTGTTCCAAGTCAGGAATATGACAGTTGTTGTCCATTCGTTTGATGTGTTTTATCATTTGATTTTGCCATTTGATAAGGGACTTTCCTTTTGAATTTTCCTCGGAGTTCAGTATTTTTGTGATTTTACTTTTTAAATAGATCAACAAAACTATCCGTCACAATATAATATATATGACGGTCTGGATTAGGGGAGGGGGGTCTACATTTCTGTATTCTGTAATTCTGTAGGCCATTTTTCTCTATTCAGTAAGAAATATGATTATTCTGTAAAATTCTTGTGTTCAGATCCTGCATATGAAAATTTCCTGTTGTATCATAATATTGACATGATAAATCTTCTTGTCTGTATCAACGACATACGTATGACGACACTACCCCGCACCCCAACCCCATTTTTTTAAAATCTGTCACTGTACTGCACAAATGATACCATTTATCAATTTTGATTAATATCTGAATATCTGATTAAACCAAACGGGGGAGAAATTTCTTCGTGATAATTTGGATATCTGGGATAATAAACAGAAGTTAAGATGACATGATGTATATTTGATCATATTTTGTTTGTCATATGAGGTACTAGTACTGAGAAGCTGCATTCAGTTTTATAACAGAGACAGTACCGGTAGTTAACCGACATTAAGAGAAATCTGAAATCCGATAGAGACTAAAAATTCAATCACCAGAACTAGATTTTATCCTTGATTGCCCTACTGTCCAATAAAATATTAAAGCATTGCCTATTAATCAATTGTTTTGGAGAATATTAAAATATATTTAACATTTATTGGTACAAAAAATACCCCCAAAAAATCTAAGACAATGTCATCCGTTCTCAAGCATCAGTCTTCCAACCCTTACCATTAAATTGTTTGTTTTTTGTTTAATTATAATGAGTTATGGATCTTACAAATATGAAACTGAAGATGCAGGAATTATGTCGACGAAAGAGCCGTTTTATTTCTGCAATTCCTTTCAATTCCCTTTAATTATCCATTGATAAATTTTGAAATTATAAAGAAACTAAGGTTTCAACTCCATCGGGCAAAGTTAATCTTCGAATGATTTGGCTATTTTTTTTTTATGTCCTTTTTGGTCATATGGCTCATCAACTCTTTCTGTTCTTTTACATCCTTGGCTCTCAAATATTCGGCGCTGGGCGTAAATGATGAAGATAAATCCAAAATAGAGCTTTGGAACGAAATGATACGTTAACTCGTGCAAGATCGTGATTTTGGAGAAAAATACCGATGCTTATGAATGTATATAATTTGCATCGCTTATTTCAATAAACCATTTCCGATTACGACCAGTTCAACATTTCATTCCAAATGATCTACTTGTCTATTGTCAATTATCAATAATAAATTTGATATGCAAAAAAAGCAAAGTTTCATTATTCTGTAAATTATTTATTACTGAAATCAGTATTTTCTTTACCTTATTCTTATAATGTTTATACAATTATTTTAATTACACCCCATTATTTTCTATTCTTTATTTGATTGCCTATTTTTCTTCATTCTTTATTTTTTAAGGGGGGGGGGGGGGGGCATTATTTTCTATTCTATAAACCACCTCATATATCTTGGGTTATTTCAAATAAATATCAGATATTCAAGCGGAATAGGATACATAATACTACTGGGCCTCGGTGGCCGAGTGGTCTAAGTAGTTACTACTGTAATCACTAGCGAGTCAACACTGAGGTTGTGAGTTCGAACCTCGCTCGTGCGGGTGCACTCGACTCCAATCTTAATTTACTAGGATTGTCAGTTTTCCTATCGAAGGTCGGTGGTTTTCTCCGGGCACTCCGGCTTCCTCTACAAATAAAAACTGGCCGCCACGAAACAGCCCAAAGGCGGCGCTTAAAAGTGGCGTTAAAACACCAAAACAAATCAAATCATTATACTACTAGTATAAGAGTATCTACAAGGAGAAGCTGTTTAGTTGGTCGTTTTTAGTTTTCTTTTTTAAAATTAAAGTCGGTGAGATTAATTTGCTGCAACCAACCAACAAAGAGGGTTGCCTACTATGAATAAAAAATCTATGGAAAATATTTTTATATTTTATTTTTCGCTGTTTGTTGTTGTTTTTGTCGTCTCACTCTCGTCATGGTTTTGTTTATTTTTATAAGTGTTAACTTTGGGTTTTTTTAAATTCTTTTTTAACGACAACGCATGGAATATCTTATTTATTGTTTGAAAATTCTTCTCTCGGTCATAATTCTGCATGAAATATCTGCCACTGTACTTTCAGAAAACAACAATCAATCAATCATTATTCCTCTAAAATTGCAGTATTGTAATAACTTTAAACATTATCAATAAAAGTGATTCGTTTAATCCTTTGATCTGATATAAACACGTCTCATCACTCTCCTATATTAACATTTCTAATTTCCGATACCAAGGAAAAAAGTATTATTGAATATCAAAGGAAGTAACCTATCAAAGATTCAGGGGTTGTGTTTCGTCTACAAAAGAATATTCTTAGTTATTCAAACTATTCAAAGCAAGGGATGAATGCATTATACGCCATTCTTGTGCATTTTGAAAATATTTATAAATATGACCACATCAATGATAATTCATGGTAACACAGATTGGCACACTAGATGATGATGATGATGATGGTGAGGTGAAGGAGGAGGAGGGGGAGGGGAGGAGGCGGCAAATTATATGCATATTCGGGTCGAAAGCATGTTAATACGATATTAATATTTATTCTGCTTTGTTCAAGACCAACACGCTGAGTCGATTTTTTTTGGTGTACTAGTTCACAAGCAAACAGTCCACAGGAAGATTATCACCTTAATTTGTGTTAATTTCAACTCACAAGAAAAACGCACATAAAAGTTTTTGAGAATTAATAAAGATAAAAAAAACACCGTAAAAATAATGATTTCAAAGTTTTTAGCATTTTCGGTATTGAAAATCACGCTATCAGATAACGACGTCAAAGGAAATAAAATGACGTTAAATGTATTTTTTTGACATTTTTTCATCTAAACTGTCTCGATCATTACAAATTGACGGTAAAAAATTACATGCTGAAATTGATATGTTGGAAAGAATATACTATGAGGATGTTCCATGTTCTTTATTTACAAGTTTTGCTGCAATTTATATTTTATCATTGTTTTACTCGGACGTTGGGTGCTTTACCGGAGAACCAGTGTCCAGCGCTTATTTTGTTAAAATTGAACCGAACTGACTGCCAATAGGACAATATTTATATTCCGGTTTCCTATAAATGCTAGAAACAAATAAATCCATATTTTATTTTTTTCATCTGAATTACCCCTTAAGAATCGTCTTTTAGTTAATTCGTTTAACATTTCGACCCAGCAACATATAATCTGAGAGATCCCTTTCAAACGAATTCGCAGATCTATCGTATTCAAGACTTTGTGTCGTCTATTGTACACATGTATCATACCTTCAAAGGTCAACCATCATATATCTGCTCTATTGGTTTGTGTAGTCTGTCGTAGACATGTATCATATCTTCAAAGGTCAACCATCATATATCTGCTCTATTGGTTTGTGTAGTCTGTCGTACACATGTATCATACCTTCAAAGGTCAACCATCATATATCTGTAGTCTGTCGTAGACATGTATCATACCTTCAAAGGTCAACCATCATATATCTGCTCTATTGGTTTGTGTAGTCTGTCGTAGACATGTATCATATCTTCAAAGGTCAACCATCATATATCTGCTCTATTGGTTTGTGTAGTCTGTCGTAGACATGTATCATATCTTCAAAGGTCAACCATCATATATCTGCTCTATTGGTTTGTGTAGTCTGTCGTACACATGTATCATATCTTCAAAGGTCAACCATCATATATCTGCTCTATTGGTTTGTGTAGTCTGTCGTAGACATGTATCATATCTTCAAAGGTCAACCATCATATATCTGCTCTATTGGTTTGTGTAGTCTGTCGTACACATGTATCATACCTTCAAAGGTCAACCATCATATATCTGTAGTCTGTCGTAGACATGTATCATACCTTCAAAGGTCAACCATCATATATCTGCTCTATTGGTTTGTCTAGTCTGTCGTAGACATGTATCATATCTTCAAAGGTCAACCATCATATATCTGCTCTATTGGTTTGTGTAGTCTGTCGTAGACATGTATCATATCTTCAAAGGTCAACCATCATATATCTGCTCTATTGGTTTGTGTAGTCTGTCGTACACATGTATCATACCTTCAAAGGTCAACCATCATATATCTGTAGTCTGTCGTAGACATGTATCATACCTTCAAAGGTCAACCATCATATATCTGCTCTATTGGTTTGTGTAGTCTAGTTTACACATGTATCATACATTCAAAGGTCAACCATCATATATCTGCTCTATTGGTTTGTGTAGTCTGATCAACTCAGGTTTCAGATCTTGACTCTTTTGTATTGTATACATGTTTCCCTTTAAAGATGGACAGAACCATAATATTCTCATTTGATGCGTAAATAGAAATATGTGTGCTTTTTTAGCTATTACAGTTATGTGTGGATCTGGATGGGAACAGTTAATGAATAGTTGTTACTACTTTCAATTACAATCAAAGAAGACATGGAATGATGCAAAGGTATGCATATTTATATCAAATATTAGCAAACGAACTGATATTTTATAAAGATAAGACGAGAACGCCAAGCACGTGATACTAAAACATTTGCATGATGTTAATGAAAAAAATGTACGAATTTCAGATTGTCGACACTCCCTTCCGCTACTTATACATTTCTATTCAAAAAAAGCGTATGTTCCATGTTGCTTATCACATTTGTCCATTTTGTTCTTCGATATATGTATTTTCACCCATTCACGTTTTTCATGGCAATCAGCGTCGAATTGACAATGAAATGAACAGTACGTTGTACAATAAAACCGAACAAGTATCGCAACGTAGTGCATGTAAATAAGTGTATATCAATATTCTAGCCAAAGACGAATTTCCAGTCGTTGACATGATGCAATAAAATGTACTCGAAAATATATGACAATGGCAACTCTTTACAATGCAGCAATATTAACTTTGCAAATGAATTGCGTATTAAAAAGTAATGCCATTTATTTTTTTAATACGAATTTGATTAGCTCGAATATTACCTCGCCAAAACGGACTTGCTTATTATTGTTGCTGAACACAATTCATCTAGTCGATATCGAGAGCAAAGTATAACTTTTCTATAAAAGTTAACTGCACTTTTAAGTTGAAATTATTTTTAACACTTTGTATAAATATGCAAGAAATAAAACCAAATTATAATCATGGTAGTATATTTCCTTGTTTTTTTCAAAAACAAAGTTGGCTGGTTATATTAGTCCGATACATGTTGGTGCAATGAAGATAATTAATACTTCTTAATTAGCACTTCGCTGTTGACATGAATATCAATTATATGGTCATTTGTATAAATTTCCTGTTACAAAACTTAGAATTTTTCAAAAAACTAAGGATTTTCTTATCCCAGGAATAGATAACCTTAGCCGTTTTTGGCACAACTTTTTGGAATTTTGGGTCCTCAATGCTCTTCAACTTTGTACTTGTTTGGCTTTATAACTATTTTGATCTGAGCGTCACTGATGAGTCTTATGTAGACGAAACGCGCGTCTGGCGTATTAAATTATAATCCTGATACCTTTGATAACAATTAACTATTTTTAGCACTTAAACTGGATTTAAATGCACTTATTTTGTAGATTGATTGTCGTAACAGGGGAGGATTTCTTGTCAAAATTGACAATGCCTTTGAAAACTGGTTCTTGAAATTCTTTATAAGTAAGCATTTTTTTTATTATAGTAGTAAATACTTTTATACACTGTTCATAATTTTCCATATTGTTGGTCTAAATTTTGTATCTGATAAAATAAGATGTTACCCCTTTTAATAAAAGGTACTGATGAATTGACAGGAAAAGTCTGAAAATACATAGCTATTTAAAGTAATAGAATATTTTAAAACAAGACTTATCGCATTCTCGGTCAATTATCGATAATTTGTTAAAACACGATTTATGTTGTTTTTATTCAAAATATTATGATTTAGCTGCGATAAGGCTAAAATCAGATTGCTTGAAATCCATTATTATGAAGAATATAAGCAAACAGTGAATATTTTTAAAAGTAAGACCGATAATTTTGTAGCAACATATGAACTGAATTATTTTTATCATCTCGATTTACTTACTTCGTTCTCAAATTTCTATGACAATAGTTCTGACATCATTATGTTTATTTTAAGATAAGAGCCAAGGTGACTTTTGGATTGGAGCACACGATTCTGTACGAGAAGGACGCTTTGTATGGGAAGCTGACAATACACCACTTACTTATACTAATTGGAATCCTGGCGAACCAAACAATGCTGGCAACAAAGAAGACTGTGCATATTTCTTTTCTGGGGATATAAGCAAATGGAATGATGCCCCATGTTCATATACAACTTTTTACATTTGTGAGAAACATTAAGCTAAACGTACTATCATATAATTGTGTAGAATATTTAGGGACTACACCCTGTTAATAATGCAACAATAGCTTAGCAGTTGTTTAATTCGCTCTCTTATAAAAAAAAGAGTGTGTCTATTTTTGGAAATTTTGATAGCGCTCGATAGTCAAAACAATAGGAACACACAAATCAAATTAGAAAAAGTAGAGCACTTAAACAAATAAAAGTTCGTAAAAGTAGCGCCATTTTATATCTGTTAAGACCATTTTCAAAGTTTTTTAAATGGTGATTTTACAAAACATTAGCTTGTCATTTATATTTAATGTCAACAGGATAACTTATCAGCTAACCTGTGATATCCTTGATTAAACGTAGGCAGTTGTATCACCCCGATCGTTATAAATACAGATCTACGATAAGTGTTGATAGTTTTCTAAGACACAAAGAAATCCTATAAATAAATCTCAGAAATACATCAAAATATTATCTGAATTTTATTATTTGTTTGGAGAAAAAGAAAATGAATGTATAATAACATTTATAAGAACATGAACAAAGAGTAAGATATATTTACAAGATGTTTAATACCAAAGAAGAAGTGTTACTAGATTATTATACAAGTGACTCTTATAAAAGATGTCGCATTTAACCAATGTTCAAGACGACTTTATGTAACTGAATAACACTTGAAATGAGATTGAACTCTGACCTTGTTTTTAGTGAAATAAGAAACTCTCCCTATAACATTGAATATAGACGAACAAAAGATTTGTCTAATTTAAGGTTTCGAAAAACATTACATCATTGTTTACAATATGCATATTATCTTAACGTTTTAAGACACATTATTCTTACTTTGAGACATCTAGGCAATTTTAAATTCGTGATTTGTCCGATTGAAAATCAAATTCACCCAATTCATAAACAGTAAAATGCAAACATAACGACACTATTCCCATAAACAAGCTTATTGTCCTGATTTCAATATGTTTGCAAAACAAAATACATGATAAACAAGTTGCTGCAAATTATTCTATAACATTAAGACTGACATGTAGTTTATACAGGGAATGTTTATCACATAACACATACTTGTTTTGACCTCACTGGATAACTGTTATTTAAGAGCAAGTGCCAGAAACATAAAAAATGGCATTTTATATATAATTAAAAGATATTGATGATTACTGTTCAAAAGGGTATATTGTGACTAACAATAGTCGGTGAAAGATGTTTTGCATGTGCTTACTATGGATTCATTATTATTTATGGGGTACCAATTTTCGATGATTTCGTGAGTACAGGGAAACCTCAAATATTAATTTCAACGAAATATAAGTTTACTTCACACTCTTCGTTAAGCACAAAATCAAATATCCACGAAATGCACGAAAATTGGTTCCCACGAAAATGAATTTATTCACAAATTTTAGCTTCGTTATTAATAAAACATTAACACTGTATAACTGTGTTATGACCGCATATTTTTCAGTTCCCTTCAGTAGGAAAGTTCTAACTTAAATATTGAAAGCCACAGATGTTTAACTGCCTAAACTAGTGAAAAGTTTTATGACCGCAAGGGATATAAAATAAACAACAAGTCCACGTAAAGTCAAAATTAGAACTATATATAGATTTTTTTAAACAATATCTGAATTATAAACGTAGAATATAATTACACAAAATTATTATAAATTATGTGAGTAATTTGCACCAGATTTAATCCTATTCACACAGACTTTGATATTTCCTATCCATGTGCAAATTGTTAAGTATGTACTTTATCGAATTAAACACAAGATACTAGAAGACGTCAATGAAAGAAGTTGAAGTAAACTCATTATAGATACAAGGATTGATTTTTTGTACGCAAGACGCGCGTTTCGTGTTAAAAAGACTCATCAGTGACGCTCGAATCAAAAAAGTTAATAAGGCCAAATGAAATACGAAGTTGTAGAGCATTGAGGACCCGAAATTCCTAAAAGTTTTGCCAAATACAGCTAAGGTAATCTATTCCTTGGGTAGAAAATCTTTATGTGAATTTTCAAAGTATATAAAGTTTATTTTCAAAGTATACCTACAATAACGTATCTCATTTGGTATGAGGTAGTTTCATGTTTGTATCGATAAATCAGAACTCCAATTAACTGAGTATAATATATGGATATGTTCTTCAAAGTTTGACGTATCGTTAGTGAGTCAACATTAGGTTTTTGTTTTATAAATCAATACAAAACCTTTTGATTACATTAAGCTCACGCTAGATCAAATAATTATATTCAGATTTTACCCCTTGCATAATAGATAATATCATTGTACCGACTATACGGTATGGGTTTTTCTCAGTGTTGAAGGCCGTATGGTTGCCTATAATTGCTTACATCAACTTTATTTGAACTTTGGTGAATAGTTGTTTCATTGGCAATCATACTTCATCTCCTTATTTTCTATATCAATCTGAAACTGAATAAAGTTTAAGCTGTCGGCTATGAAGTTTATCGAGTATATTTTGGCAGGATTTTCACCAATGTACATCCCTTTTTGTTGGTACTCAACAACTGCGATATTAGCAAGTCCCTTCCGCCGTTTTTCTTTTGCTTCATCTTACTCTCCATAAATAACATTGTGGCACAGGAAACAGTTACCTTGTACAGATATATACGAGTACTACACCCTGTACATTTTGGAGGCTATGAAACAAATCCTTGTTTTTAAACATCAAAACTACCGTATTACATATGAGTTAAAGTCTTTAATTTATATATAAAAATCGTCGGTTGACGTGAGAAACCATAAGGGTTCTGGTTACAACATATGAGAAATAATTATATTGTTAATTAAATTCGAATTATTTTCATTTTGAAGGAAAAGTCACATATTTTGTTTTTAAAATATTAGAAACAGAAACGGACAGCGCAATTTAGGTCGTTTGAAACCATGAGTCAAGTCACTAAAATCTAATAATAGATTTATTAGATTAAAGAGACCTGGTCTGTTCGATAGATTATATGTTGTGGTACAATATAAAAATAAGGAGATGAGGTTTGATTGCCAATAAGACATCTATCCACCAAAGTTCAAATAAAGTAGATGTATTCAATTACAAGAAAGCATACGGCCTTCAATAATGAGGAAAACACACATACCGTATAGACCGCTATCAAAGACCCCGACATGAAAAATATGAAGCATTTCTATTGAGAAAACTAACTTATTTATTACAAAAATAATTTACGAAAAACAAATATGATAGACATGAACCAAAGACAACCACTAAAAGGCTCCTGACTTGGGACCAGCACATGAGGATTGTGGCGTTGTTTAAAAAATTTTGCTGGCGCTCAACCCTAACCATAACTTGGGACACAGGTGAAACAGTACAACATAAGAACAAACTATAAATATCACTTTGCAATTTCCTCGGAGAAATGCATTTTGATTTATATTTAATACTTAATCGGTTGTTTTTCTGTTTGTACACTGTTTGACGCTGAATCCAATGGAAATAGTGTCAAATGATAGGTGTTTTTCGTTTGTAACCCTATAACTATTCTCTACCAGTGTTAGTATTCAGTATAATTACTTTTCTGAATTTGTCTTCCTTACATGACTTGTCTTCCTAAGATATGAAAAATCATATTTTTTGAACGACGAGGATGATGATAATGATGTTGAAGAGGAGGAGGAGGAAGAGGATATCCTATGCATTTTTTTGGAAATATCAGCATTTTCATTTGAAAAAAAAACCCTCTTAATTCAAATATTACTGATCAATGATTAATGTTTCGTTTTGCAAAAAAAAGAAAGTACAGATGTATCATGAACTTTATAGATAATTAACAACTTTCAATACATTCAACTAATTTCTCTTTATAGCATCAGACAATTTTTTAATTTAATGTTTTTCACAAATGTATCCCAATTTCACCGAACATGGAGCGTCATTCCATTTGCAAGACCCGCTTTGAAAATGAACACAGTCTTCACCATTTCTCAAATTATCCGGCTGGCTAGGACTCCAGTCAGTAAATGTAACTGATGTATTGTCAGACACCCAAATAAAACGAGATTATCGCATTGAATCATGTGCTCCAATTCAAACATTTGAGCCTAAAATGCCAAAAAAACTAAGTTGAAATACCATGCACTAATGTTCGATGACGGGATATAACTGATAAAAACTGATTTTTTTTCTTGGAATTTGTAATCGACTGATTGGTTATTAGTTGCGTTACATTAATCAACAATCATACTTTTATATTCGATATTGTATGCCTTATTTCTTTCCTTTCATAATTTTACTTAAAGTCGACTATGTACAAACTGTTCAATTCTTTCTATTTCGTATTGTCAGTAGTGTATCCAACAATGACAAGTTCTTGTTTTTAGAGTTACGTTCAAAGAAAGACGTGACCTCGCCAAGTTTTCAATATAGCTTTAAGAAGCGATGTAAAAGGAGTATTGCCACCAAAAGCCTTAAATTGGCCACTAAAAATCTTTGGTATAACAGATCTAAAAAATAGAAAACAACACGTTTAATAATTTCATGCGTCCGAAGCGCTTTTTTGGATTTACCTTCATCAGGAACGCTCAAAGCCAAACATTTGAAATCCGAAGGATGTATAAGTACCGAAACAGTTGAAGATAAAATATGAAAATGTAGATAAACAAACACTTTTGTTGTCTGCTGTTCGTTCAAACCAAGTATGATATTTAACAAGTATTTTAGCCACATAGTCTGTTTTATATGCATTTGTATGGACTACTTCCTTTCGAAAATCATTGGCCACACCCTTTGACCAACATAAAATTGTTATAAAAAGATGTATATGGGTTAGATACAAATTCTAACAAACATTATAGTGGTCCTTGTATGGCGTTTGTCGATTAAAGCAAATATTAAAATAGAGGCAAAAAAATTGTCAAAATTGCTTTACATCATAAATGTTCTAGTGCGATAGAGCTTGTTCAATTTGTATTTGTTAGATATTTTTACATATTTTGTGGTCATTCTTTATTCATTTTACTAAAGATAATTTTTACGGAATTTTTGGGCCAACATGGTCCCCCAGTTAACATGTTAAGCTACTCCTTTGCTGATACGGTTTTTAAAAATCTTTCCATGAAATTTATAATAGAAATACTTATTTTTAAGTTTGATAGAGGATTGCTGCTCACAAGGAAGCTATTAAACCAAGAGTTCCAAATGGTGAAGTTGAAGTCATCCCTTCGTAAATTTTACGGACGCCATCACGAGTTGGTTGACCGTTATGGAATAACCGTTTCACAGATGATATCGGATATGTTCCTTATCTCGTAACTACAATACCCTTCCCTTTTCACGAATGTGACTTACCGAATTAGACTATTTACCGGATTTGTAATAACATAAGCAACTCGACGGGTACCACATGTGGAGCAGGATCTGCTTACCCTTCCGGAGCACCTGAGATCACCCCCAGTTTTTGGTGGGGTTCGTGTTGCTTAGTCTTTAGTTTTCTATGTTGTGTCATCTGTACTATTATTTGTCTGTTTGTCTTTTTATTTTTGGCCATGACGTTGTCAGTTTGTTTTCGATCTATGAGTTTGACTGTCCCTCTGGTATCTTTCGTCCCTCTTTTAATTATTCCATGGTATGCGAATTTTCAATACTTAAGATATTATTTGGAAGTTTTTTTTATTAATGTTACAGAAACAATAACAGTGTTATAGAAATACAAAATTACTAATTTCGTGGAGGTGGATGTTTCCATAAGGGACAGATAGTCCACATGTAGTGGTACTAACACAGTGCTGTTAACATAGTGATACAAACAACTATGTCTTCCTTGCGAGTGACACGTTTACGAGATAATCTTCATCAGGTACGTTCGTGGTCATGGTTCACGTGGTCGTGGAAGCATAGATATTAAACATTTGAATGTACTGTACAAACACGACTAGAAAATAAGACTGTCAAAACAATAAAATGTCAACTATAGCGAGAGGGGTTATCAATATCACAAATACGTTTACGCATTCATTCGCGTGAAATTTACATTATGTGCACAAACAAAATTAATATGAAAAGACAAATAGAAGTTATTACATGTATTATAACAAACATAACATGAAACTGTTTGTAAGTATGATAATGATGATTTATGATAAACCTACCACTGACAAAAGATTTCAAAAACCAATTCTCAACAGCATCCTCAATTTTTACAAGAAATCCTCCTTTCAGTTGACAGTCTATCTAATATAAAGTGGATGAGGCATAAATACATTATATTTTTACATTATTTAACACAAAATAACATCTTTTCGGCTGCCTTGTAGCAGCAACTTTTTACCCTTCAGGGGCACATCAGTTTAACCTAAGTGATTGGTGGATTCGACATGTTCGTTTTCAATCTTTGAATTTCTCCGTAATTGTTCGTATTTTATTCAATTCTATTTTAAACATGGTGTTGTCTGTTTTGTTAGATTTATAAAAATGAGCCTGAAGATACAAAACAGACCTTCAAACTCAAAAGTTGAAGTGAAACTGACAATCCCATGGGAAAAATTGAAAAACGACGACAAA